AAAGTCAGCCAGGCTTATAACAACGAAAATTGGATTGGAAAGCATCGGCATGTTTGCATGCTTCCTTCTGATCAAAAGGAGTCTATTTTGAAGACAATAATAAAGATTTGTATTAAAATACGATACATAATTTTTGTCAGTCCAGGTTTAATTTGTTCAGATGGAATGAAAATACTTTCAAAAGTTATTATAGAGGATCTTGAAATTGAATTACACGAGAAGCAGCTTCTGAAAGCGAAATATCACTAAGAAATTTGGACAATAAATCCAATATTACCCAAACAGTTATTGCTAGAGGTCTGCGTTAGTAGTGCCACAGTCCGATTCATACTAGAAACTTTATTGCCGTGCTTTGGCTGTTCTAAAAAAAAACCAACATAATTCATAAATGATTGGCTTTGTCACCCGGTTAATATTTAAAAGAAATGCTAATTTGATAGCCTTCGTTAAATGTTGAGTTTTTAAAAGTAAAAAAAAATATTTCTAAATAACCTGAAAATATCTCAAACTGGGCGCAAGTTCTTTCAATAATTATCTCATGAGTACGCTTTCTCTCTCTTTAGTTTTGTATAGGTTGTAATTAATATTAAAACTTTACACTTTTATCGAATTAAAATTTTTAAATAGGTGGCAACTTTTCACAAAAAATTGGAACTATATGCGTTTTTAGACCACTCAATAATAAATATATATTTAACATTTAAAATTATATTATTTAAAAAGTTTAAAACTGATGGCAACCTTCTTTTTTATTTATTTTAAACAATACGAGTATTAAACCTTACGAGAAAAATAAAAAAAAATTTAGAAGATATAAAATATTAATAATATAATAATATAGATTGTAATCTCCTACAAAAAATTTTAACCAAACGCTTTTTAGACCGCTTTATCTTGGCAGATGTTTTGATTTTAAAATTTTATTATTTAAAAGTTTTATAACAGATGCCAAACCAGACCATCTATGCAGTGTGTAAGGTTTTTAACTTTTAAAATTTATTGATTAACCCTTATGTTATATCTCATTTTAAGCTCTCAAATTCTCGTTTTTTAACCTAAAAGAAAGCTATTTGTGAGTTAATTTTTTTTTATTTTTTCTATTCTATTGTACGTTGTTATTATTATAATTTTTTTTCTTTAAATTGTCAGTGACTATTAATTATTTCCAATTTTTTTTTTTTAATAACATAAACAAAATAATAATAATACTCAGGTCGATCGTAAAAGACGTTGGTAAAGTTGGTTACTACCATAAAGGTTAAAAATTTCCGAACAGTTGGCAACCTTCTTATATGTTATTTTTTTTTACATAACGAATATAAAATCGTTAAATTATAACAAAAAATAAAAAAATAATAAAATTAAATATGTGGCAACATTCTTAACTTAACGTTTTTTAAACAGCTTTAGTTTGAAAGTATTTTTTAATATTTCAAATTTTATTTAAAAAAAATTTTAAACAGTTGGCAACCCTCTATTATTATTTTTATACAAATTGAAAACGAATATTAAATTGTACAAACAAAAATTATAATAATATTATATAAAAATATTAAGCTTTTAATATGGTAGCACTGTGTAAATTGCAAGCGCTGGGGGAAATTTACGTTTCAAATTATAAACTGATATTTAGATAAGCGTTAACTGTTGTAATTTTCAAAAGTTGTTGTACTACCTTGAAAAATAAATACTTTTTATTTATTTGAACAATTTTTTAAAGTCTCATACAAACGCACGCTTTATTCTGCATAAAAATTAATAAATGTATAGCAATTCGATTAAAATGTATGCACATTGCTTTGCCTCATCTGAAATTTAAATAAATTTGTAAATAAATAAATTTACTCTTACATGCATACATATGTACGCATATATGTTCACAACTGTATGTATGTATGCACGTGTGTATTTGTGCATACTAAAGCTCACTTACGCCTCTAAGCAGCGCAGACGAGAGCGAAATGCATAACAAAATACCGACGTGTTTATATTTACTTAAGTCAATGTGCGCATTTGCGTGTATGCTGTGTATATTTTTAACGTATTACTCGTTTGTAAATGGAGAAAATCGCAATATTGGCAAATACGAAAAAATGCACGTACCAGATTTGACAATGTTTGGTGCATAAACGTCGCTGAAAGCGCTCAAATTTAGCTTGAATTTTTCGATTTCGTTTCTGCAAGTTCTTTGCTGCTATTATGAAATATTCTCTATTTCGATTTTATTCTATTTTATTTCGTTTCATTTCATTTCACTTCATTTTTATTTGTACACAAATCTGTAATGGAAATTTAATTCAAGTCATGTGATGATTTCACTATTATGCTGGAATGTAGAGATTTCGGTTTTCACACTGCTTGAGTGTGAGTGCTTTTGTGTGTGTGTGTGTGTGCGCTTGTTCGTAAGTGAACTTATTCGCAGTGTCATAAGGCAGTTAGGCAAGTACGTGTCGCTCGTGATTGCGAAACTAAAATGCTGTCAAATATTGGCGCAAAGAATAGAGATATCCATATTAAATAATACTATGCAGCTGAATGGAAAACGCTTTGAAGATATGTACATACCAAACTTGTAGCGCGTGTTGATATTTTCACTATAAATTAAGTAGTTTTGTAATATTTTTGTAGTTGAGATTTGAGTAGAGAAAAAAGTTTTGTGAATTGACTTTACAACATGCATTTAAAATTAGCACGAATATATGCTAATGCTAGAATAGCACTAAGGCTTGCTAAATCTATACTTCTAAATGTGAGAGACAAGGTACTAAACGAGGAATACCTAGTGCCAGAGTGGCGTCTTATTTTGCTGATAAGCCTTTATAAATAGAACACATTGCTTTTGGGGACTTTCCAGAGTAAGAGTAGAAGTAAATCGCTCATTACCGCTTCTAAGTAACTGAGTAGCGAATATTTAAATATTTCGCCCGGAGAACTAATACACGCGTTAGACAATACTTAAGAGGTTTTATCAAGTACTGATTTGCAAAAAACCGACTATTTTGCATATATATCGAATATAAATATATTTGAGAATATACTCTGAAAATTTGAAATAATCCCACCATAGTTTAAGAGACATAAGCACATTTCTATGAATTCTTTTGTTTAGTGTAATCGCTTCCCCAAACCTGAAACTCGATTTTTTCGAAACGATGTTTTCAGAATCAATGAGAAAATTTTCTTCGAAACAAACCGATCAAATCGAAATTTTCACAAGATCTTCGTAGATATATTAGTCAGGTAATAATTAAAGGAATAAAATTTTGACAATAATTTCGATAGTTAAGTCAATTTGAAATGTAAATTTTTTCACGTAAAGGTACTAACATTTTTGAGAATCTGCCATTTTGTCAAAAATCACAATCACGAATCAATTGTATTTTCCTCATTAGCCGTATTCGTATGTTTTATAAATAAATTTTTTTTGGTTTTAGGTTTGAGATAATTTTAAACCGAAAAAAGACCATTTTTTAAAATAAAAACCCTATTATTAAAGTATTTTAAATTCTGTAAATGTACATTTTTTATGTATCTATTATATTAAATAATAAAATGCTTATCTTTAAAAAATCAACCAAAAACGCATTTTTTTTACTTGTAAGTTTATACCAAATAACCCTAAACTAGACTTAAAGTCCTAGAAGAATCTTTATAAAGCATATTAGATCATTAAGATAAACTTCAAAAAGCTTTCAAGCATTTCCACCGCCTGTTAACAAATATCATCAGGAGTCTATAATAAAAAAGTTTTGGTTAATTCTGTCCTGAAACATTTTAGTCATCTAGCCGTCTCACTCTGTGGTTTATTTTTATCTCCCCCTTTCTCTTAAAAAATCAAAGGTATGATGCTCAAGGTAGAGCCATAGTCTGCGGCTTAGGTTACCTATACCCACAATTTTTTCGAAAATATACCCATATTTTTCAGAGGAATATTTTAAATACGGTTTTAAGCATCTGGAAATATTTTTAAAGGAATACCGTAGTGGAAAAAGGATTTAAATGGCCTGCTAATATGGGTGTTACAGAGTTTAAAAATCTCAGAAAAATATTTCTTATGAAATGCGTAACGATACTATCACAGCAATCCAATCTTCCATAAATTAGGTTTTTTCGGATTAATTAAAACTAAGAGAGAGATTAAATTTTTTATAGAGTTTACGAGTAAACGTTTTGACCGATATCAACAATCATCAGCGATTCACTGAAAAAGCAAGAAAGCATTTAAATCATGTCTCACAAAATAATAGGAGACAGATTTTAGGTAATACTTTGATAATTTTGTTAAATATTCATTTCATAGCGTATCATTTTAGACCAACTTAAGCTTGTAGTGATAAAATTAAGAAATTTTTTTTCAAAACTTATCTATAAACGAATATTTTCCTTAAATATTTCATAGAAGCGTGTGGTGTGCATCTTGGCTAAAATATGATTTCGTTGGCGTATTGATCTTAAAAGTAGGCAATGTTTTTCTGCTTTCCGTTTTTTTTTAATATATTTTTAGGAATATTTTGAATGAGTGAATGACAAATCGATAGCACGATTTAAAAAATCAAACTTTCTTACAAATATAAAAGAGAATGAAGAAGCGGAAGTAGAGTGTAAAAATGTTGTAGGTATCAATTACTTTGGATAAAAAAATATATCAATCAGTAATAGTAGCAACACTGCAGCGTAGTCAACCTAACAGTACAAGCAAAATCTCTTATTTCCTTTCGTCTACTTTAAGTTTTATACCAACTTCAATACACATACATGTATATAAGAGTATATGACTGATGATTGAGCTAGATGATAACACAGCTACTGATAATAGTGATAGTGAAAGCAATATCTCTAATGGATAATGCTCTCCGACGCGTGTCTTATTTATTGGGTTTCATCGTGAACAGTTGTAGGTTTGTATGTTTGCGACAGCTACTAGCAAATATGTTCGTTGAGATATATATACATATATATACATGTATATGCTTGGCTTAGCTCCCTTTTAATGCACTCACCTGACATGGCGCCTGGAATAGATATGCATCACCGAATGCTGTACTCAAACAGAATATATAATCACGTTTGGGATGCTCCGGTATTGGTTGCATAATCGCACCATCAACAATAATTAAATGCTTTGGTGCTGCTTCAACGCTACGACCCTCACGTGAATCGCATGGATAGAAGAGTAGTGTGGTGCCTTTGAGGCAAACCCAATAACCTTTCCAGCCTCGCTTGCGCGCCAATTCGATTTGATGCTTTTTGCGGAGTAGCCATTTTTTCACCGATAAGAAACTGAAATTAATATAAAATTTACATTAAGATATTTCATTTCATCTCTGGATATTATAAATTTAAAATATTTATAGATTTGGAGTTATTTCAAAAAATTCTTTTAAAACTTCTTAGCCTACTTAAGAGCAGATGTATTGTTGAATATTTTAAAATTATAGTTTAAGATTTATTTTAGATTTTTATTTATACAATTATTTGATTTTTTTAGTAAAACGAATCGTTAATAATGAAATTTTTTAGTAATATATTTGCGATTTTATCCCTTTCTCTGCTGCTGTGTTGAACCTATATTACTAAGTAATTCATGTTTTTAACGCTAAAGATCACCACTATATGACAATTCCTTTTTGTTTGCTTTTAAATTTTTATTTATTTTTTGAATTAAAAGTGAATGAATGTGATATCACACGAAGATACATAAATCTGAATATGGGTTTGGAACACTGATTCACAAATGTTGTTTAGCAAAGACACATACCCTATTTACAATAAACTGAAGTAATTAGCGTACTCGTTTCATTAAACAAAATATTTATAAATATTAGCAGCGACAGATTGAATCTATTGTATCTGGACTTAAGTTTTATGCAATTCGCAGGGTTGTATTTTTAAGGTTCGTATTACTCACCCGGCTTTGCGTACAGCGCCAGTACAGTTGAATGAGGAAGCAGCAGTTCCAGTTGCCTTTGCTTTATATGGTGACGCCATGACACTTTCGCCATCATCTTCATCAGATACGGCTGTAGTTAAGCTCATTCGATCATCATCAGATATCTGTAAAAGGAAAAATATATATACATTAATTGATATGTTGTTGAAGTAATAAAAAAGCCAGAAGTTCTTTCTAAAAAATTCGATCGAAAATATATTGTATTAGATTTTTCAGTAACTACTAATGATAAAGGCCAGTGCTAATTGTTTTCTTTTCGCAAAGCTTTAAAACGGTTTCATTGAAATGTCGTGTATCTTAGCAAAGTTTACAAATAACTTATATACTCCTAATGCTGTCTTGGTGCAAATTAAGTATATTTATTGCAGAAACAAGATATATCACTTTATAGCACATAACCGCTATATTCTCTCTCTATTTAAATCTACGTCGATATATTTTAGATCGAATTGTTGGGATTGGTTAACAAGGACTTCAAGAAAATTTTATGATCGTATCGTCATATCTCACTGCGACTCATATTTAGTAACTAGAACTGATGACTTTTAAAAGATGTATTTCAGATCTATATTAAGTGTTTATAAAAAAATATCAATTTTTTATCAATAAACATATATTTGAGAATATTCTCCGAAAATTTGAAGTTGATCCGATAAATATTTTCGGAGATATGAGCGCATTGGCAAGAATTTTTTTACTAAGTGATGTTCGGAAACACTGTTTTCAGAGCCGGTGACGAAAATTTCTCCGAAACGAATAGCCGGATACACTTGAAATTTTCACACGGCCTTCCGAAATATATGTATTTGTCAAGGAATGATGGGAGCAATAAGATTTTTAATGTATTGTTTTTCACAAAAAACCGATAGTTCATCTATAGTAAAAAAATTTTTTTTTGTGTTTTGGTGTGAGATAGATTTAAGCAGACAATTCTTTCTAACCGCTAGAGATCGGTTATGAGCTCAAATGAGTTAAAAGTTTTTCAAAATGTATCACTGTTATCGATTATTAAAGCACATTAAATTCAGTTAATGTAAATTTTTTTTATTTATTTATTAAATAAAATGCCTCTTCAAAAAAAAAAAAAAATAAAAAAATTCATATACATACAAATTCAATTACATCAAAACTGATTTAATAAAAATTCATAAGCAGTTATTAGTTTTAGAAATATTAATTATCTCAATAAATGTGCATAAAGCCACATTAATACTGTAATTTCATTAAATACTCTCGCACGTCATTTTCAGCAGCATTTTATTTACATAACTATATGAGTATACAATAAAAAAACAGAGAAGATATCACGCCAACAAATCGTCAGTGACATTTATTGATGCTCGTGGTTGCGCAGTAAAATTCACTAATTATAAAACAGATGGGTGATAAATTGAATTTAATTATACTGTATAGTGCTATTGCGATCATGGTAAGCAGACGACGAATGCAATATGAGGTGAAATTAGTTGAGCTGCAATAACAACAAAAAGCACTATGAGTTAACTTTCAATGAATCGCTGGCACAACATTTCGAAATTTTCATTAGCTCATGCATTTTTGTAGTAGTATATGTGCAAAGATATAGCATTACTCCCACTCCCACTCAACCAACCAGCTAGTCAGAGTGATGTTACGTATACGTCATGACGCACGCATATGAGTCGAGGTAGTGAGAGTATAAAGCGCGTGTGTGATGTCGCTTCTGTGTTGGCAAGCGTATGTGTAAGCAGAATAAGTGCAAACAACTCACTAGCAATGCTGCTGTAATTTTTTTATTTTTATGTGTATTTTTTTCTATTTTTTGCCAATGAAAATGTTGAAATCACCATACAACTCTTTCGTATTTCATTAACTGCAACTTTCATCTCGTTTTCAAGTGTATTTTTTTTTTATGAGCGCATTTTTTATGGCTTTGCAAGCATAGAGCAATTGAGAAAGCTTCAAATAAAGTAGATGTTTCTAATGTTGATTTTCAGTATAATTGCGTGCTTGTTGTTTTTATTTGGCTTTGGAGTTAAGTGTAAAAATTCAAATGAAAAATGCAATGAAAGGGTTGGGTAAGTTACACATGACCCCTTTCATTAGATTATTAGAGAATAAGAGCAAGAAGTTAGCTTTTCAAGGAGCTTGTACCAACAAATATTGAGTTATTTGCATGTGAGTTAATGCTTACGTTTATTTAGACCATCGTGTTACGGTTTTCCGAAATTGATTTGAACTGCTAAAAACTTACCAGTCATATTATGGAGTTTTTGGACTAAGTGATTCTAAATTTATATATATATATATGTTTTTTTGTTTTTCAGTTGAAATTTTACGTAACATTATCGTCTCTAAAAATGGGCGCGATCGCTTGAAATTTACGCCTACCTTCCATATAACGGTTTTTAAGTTTTAGGTGCTGGTAACAACAACTACATCGAAAAATGGACTGAAATTCAGTTTTAAAATACAAATGTTTCAACTCTTGACTTTATCCAAAAATGGGCATGGTATGTTAAACACTTAACCCATCGGCCATAATCAGCCATATAACGCTTATATAATACTTATTTTTATCAGACCAAGTGCTTCATCTACATTAAGTGATTTAGCTGGAATTTGGTTCCCACAAGTATATTTGCCACCAAAAGTCCGTGTCTAAAATTACAGACGGTTGGATGCAAGACACACACTCCAACCATATAACGGCTTTTTTCAAAATCGGAGTTCTAGTATATTTGGATATGAGAAGCTAACACGTCGAATTCGAGTACTCAAAATAACAACACAAAAAGGCGTGCGCCAGAAAGTCAGCCTAACTACCTAAAAAAGAAAGAAATATTTTGCCGCTCCTAAAGGTATACTTCACCCGCTGACTTAAACAGTTTAATTTGGCTTATTTGCTGCCTCATTTTGAAACTACTTATTTTTATAACGTTATGCCTAGCAATTTAAGAAGAACAAAAAATAAAAACACAGAAAATTGCACATAAAACATATCACTTGCATATAACACACACACCCCTACCATCTTTAAAATAAAAGTAGACGCATGAAAATTTGCGAATTTGCAATGGTCGTAAAGCAGAGTGTCAAAGTTTGTTCGCTTTTCACGGCAAATCAAATTTAATTTAAGTTTATAGCCATTTTTGAACTTTACGCTGGCTGCGCCCATTAATGCTGAGCCGACTGCCAACATGAGTCAAGTTCAGTTTGAGCTGAGTTGAGACGAGTTGATTGCATTTAACTTTTCATAATCAGGTGCTGCGTTTGCGTCAGCTACCCCCCTTCCACTAGCTGCTTACGGGCACACTTCTACTCAACCTCTGCAGCGCTCCTTGAGTGTCTGCTGTCATCATGCCGCCAAGCGGTTGTTGTTGTTTTTGTTGGCAGAGGTTCTTTGTGCTGAAAGCTGACTTCAGCAAACCTTTCAACGCGATTGCTGTGCGTGAAGTCACCATTTTTATATGCTTTTATTCTTTATAACTTTCCTGACGGCACTGTGGTACGCGCGGGGTTCCCGCACCCTTTTGCAATTTCTCACAAGTCATCAACTTTGCGCAAATGTCATTGTTACCGGTGTAATTGCAATTGTTACGAAAATAGTGTGCGCGTACAGCGAACCAGCAAACAGCGGCAGCTGACAAACAGATAGAGTGAGAGAGAGAGAGAGAGTCGGGTTGGCAGGCAGTTAACGGCAGTCACAAATGCACGCACATATATATATATAATATATATATATATATAACACACCTGATATTTACCGCTATATATTCACTCCACCTTTCCCCCACACGCTCTAGCTGGGTTTCCAGTTCCAGTTGCTGATTTCGTTGCGAATTCGAGTAACGAGCAGAAATCCTTTTCATGTGCTCCAACTTCCGTTTCCGCTAGTTTACTACCAATGCCAACCCCCGCCCCACCGTTTCGCCGCTGTCAGTCAGTGCTTTTGCCAAGCTACTTGCTGGCACATAACTATTATGTAAGAACAACAATAACGACAACAACTATAAAGCCTTTGAGTTAGGCTTATGTTATGGAAAAGTTTTGGCTATTCAAGGAGAGGAAAGGTACTGCGCTTGTAGGGGGAAAGGTAGTACGTGTAATACCTAGAAATGCGATCGCACTTCTGTGAGCTTTTTGAAGTCTCGTAATGAGTTCCAAAGTTGGCAAAAAAATAGGCAAAAAAACTAAAGCAAAGCAAATATTATTACAGAGCTGATTTAAAATTTAGCGAATTTTTAGCAAAGAAAAATATTTAGAAGAACAGTTACATAGCCGGAGATCAAAGAAACATTTGGCTGTGCCTAATAAGCAATATTTGTTGGCTAAAATATGATTTTTAGCCATTTAGAAGAATTGTAGCAATATCTTGTGGCTATTTGCATCAATATTGTCTATCATCTCATTCATAACTACTGAAAAAGTTTGTCGAATGATCCCTGCGGAGCGTTGTGATCCCGAAATTAACAAATTGATCTTTAAACTACCTTAGCAATATCAATGAGAATAAATCTTCCTTCGAGTTTCTTAAAATCATTTCTATCAGAGGGCTTTGGAGTAATTACTGTGGTTATTAAGCCTACCCCAAGCAGATCTTCACCAGCTTTAGTGTCCCTAAGTTGTGAAATTTTTGAACCAAGTAGCACAAAAATTAACGGTTCTTAGAAATTCGATAGACAACTACCTGTCACATACACATTTTTTTTTTTGATAATCATTCACCTGTAAAAACTTGCAATATATTTTTCTAAATTCTTTATATAGTAAAGCAAAAATTGAAAATATTTTATTCCCCTTACTTATTCCCCTACTTAATGTAGTTCATAAGAGTCATCCTTTATTAGATTACAGAGCATCGTTAGTTAAAACTCTACAGTTTTTAAATATCCTACCAAAATATATATATATATTCTTACTTGACTCGAAAAAAGAATAATATAGGACAAACTCGAAGTATTCATCTCTCGAAATAGCTATCCATAGATTATAATAAAATGGTTTTGGTTTTTCTATTCTAAGCCAAAAAGCTACAGTTTATAACATTAGATATCGAAGAAGACCACTATAACGATAATGTGCTATAAAATATAAAAATTATTAGATATATTAGATAAGGTTA